GAGTGCTAGGTAACACTAAGGCGGGTATGCCTATTGGCAGTTACATTCTCGTAAGATTCTTGTATTTTTTGCTAGTTTATTGACTTGCTAGAATAAGCGAGATAGAATCAATGATAAAAACATAAAAGACATTGCAGGTCTATCTAAAACTAACGGAAATAAAAGAGAAATAAACACTTAAAACTGAACGTATCAGTCATTAACATTGGTGTTGCTAATTTTGCGATGGCCTATGATGTTATCTTTGCATAATCCGCTAAAAAACATTGTTAAAACCTCGCTATAGTGTTTTCCTTCACCATAAGCTTTTACTGTTTTCCAGAAACGTCGAAATAGTTTTAGATGAATTTGTTTATCGATGAAATTGGCTTTTGCTTCTGGCATCAAACTAATTAATTTGTTAAAACTTTGATCGGTGTGTTTCCTAATAAACTGCTTGGAATGACACCAATACCCCTCTATGGGGTTTGTTTCACAATGAAATTTGGGAGTGAAAACGATTTCCACGTTATATTGAGCAGCTAGTTTCTCAAGTTTGCTAACCTATGAATGAAAAACGAGACAAAAAGACAATGCTTGTGATTTTTTGTGGTGAATGTAGAAAACGAAAACTCTATTCACCTTTTTAAAGGCTACATGTTCACTCAATAAAGATTTCAATTGTTGAAGACTGTAATCATTTGGGACATCAACATTCAATTCATATGCTAAAGTTAGTAAACCTTTGCTTTGTCCACTATTATCGTAACAATTAATTATTTGTTTTTTATTTTGTTCATCAATAAATTCAATCTTATCTACAGGACATCTAGTGCCAGGTTTCATTCCGAAATCATTAACACTCAATTCAGCAGCTGTGTGCGTCCTGGCATTGTCCACTAAGCAGACGAAATTATGATTTTGATATTCCTTCTTAAAAGGCAATAATTGAAAGAGACGTTCAAATTGGGTGAGTATATTTTGATTATCAAAATAACTCTCTCCACCAACGATGATGGTTGCGGAAGCACTGTTTTTCTCATATAATATATCACTATCATCATTCAGTTGCGGATATTTCTTCAATGCTTGTGCATATTCTTTGTCTGTCAATGAGAAAAATGGACCACTGGGGTGCATAATTAAAAAATCTGAGCACATGATACTACGACCTTTGCCTTTGTTGTAAAAAGCTGCATTGTCGGACATCATCCATCTCTTTGCTGATACTTCTCCAGCTTTATAAGTACTTTCATCATGGCCTGCATAAGAAATAGAGAGTCTGAGAACAGACCAGAACAAAACAAACACATACAGAGTAAAACTATTGCACGACCTTTTGGGAATTTCCATTGTGGTGAAGAATCATCTGTGATTGTATAAAAGCAATCTTCATTTTGGAGGAAATATTTAACGAATTGTTCTCTGTGTTTTATAACATCTGATCTTTCATGTCCTAAGTAATAAGGTCTTCCAACATTTGCTGTATATTTTGCTCCAAAACGACGTAAATCCAGTTTACAACTACCAACTGATCTTACTAACTCCAAATCAACCTTCTTCATATTATTCAATTGATAAAAGCGAGCATCAATAAACCTAGCTAAACTCTCAGCTGTGAATGAAGCTTCTGTCTTTGAACATTCTTCTGTTACAAATTGCCTTGCTTCCAATTCTAAATCTGGATAACAATCCCAGAATGTATCAAATCTTTTCCCACCTCTTTCTTCAGCTGTAAATTCATCAAAATCTTTATTTACTAAAACAGTTGACCATTTATGAGCTGATGTTGCTGTCATACCACCAATTGTTCTTAAAAATGCATCAATATCTCTCCAAGAATGACCAAAATGACGTAAAGACATATATAAGAGAACACTGATAAAACGAGTGTTTATTTTTTCTTTGCAAAATTCGAAAAGATCTCCAATATCATTCACAATAGATTTATTTAAAAAATTAATAAAATCAACATTATCATTTGGTTTATTATCAAAGTTTTCTTCTTCATCACTTGACGACTTTGCTGATTCTTGAGATTTGCTTCTTTTTGACCATCTTCTTTTAAGTAAATCACGATTATGATTTCGTCGTCTGTTAACTTTTGGCATTAAAAACACCTTAGAAATAACAGGCTAAAATTAAGATGTATATGATTAGTTTTTAAAAATAAAAAAATAAAAAAATAAATAATTTAGCTCATTTCGCTCTTTATTCGTTTCAAAAATCAACGTTCATTGGTGCTCGGCACATCAAGTTAGACGTTGACGAACGATGGCGCTATGCTACATCCTGCTTTCATAATGAATAATGCGTTTTATCTAGATCATCGAATTTTCACCTACGAGGTTCCC